ATCTTTATGCACTTAGCCCTTGTTTGGTGCACATTTTTGGAAAAAAATACATTTTTACTGTTGATGTGATGGAGAATATGTGGTTGAAAAAGAAGGAAAAATTATTTATGTGATGGAAAATATTATTTTATTGAATAATGTGAGGTTGAAAATGAGTAGAAAAATGAGAATGAAAATTTTAATGTAGCTCGAATAGGGGCTAAAAACTTTTTGTCTAATATTTTCTTACCATGTTTGTCTCTTTCTCACTCTCTATTCATGTTTTCCTGCTATCTCATTTTATTTTATTTTTATACTCAATATCTCTTTTGAGAATATTAATCTTGAATCAATTGCTGGTTTGAATATTTTGGATTCTAATATAATTTCAGTTTTAATGATCTATTTTAAAAATGTCACATTGTTAGAAAAAATAAATCAAATCCTCCTCGACAATTGATTGTGTTCGTCTCCCATTATTAGAAGAAAAATAGAGTAATGAATATTATTTTTTTAGAGAATGTGTGGTTAAAATTTAAAGTAATTTTATTGGTTTGTGTATAGAATATTTTATTGAGTGAATGTGTAGTAAAATTTTTTACTGTAGCAAACAATTTTTTAAAATAATGATAGACAAACAGGGGCTTATTTAAAACAACCTCGAATTTCACTTTGACAACACACTCAAAACACATGTTTGAGCTGCCCACGTTGTGGCATTAAGCAACAATCGTGATGGAGTGGAAGTTTAGTGAGTATATTTTTTAAGTTAGCTGGCAAAAGCTGATTATGGTTGTCTTTGTCTTATAATATATGACGAAAATATTCTTCGTTGAATTACTGCAAATATATGATTTGTTAACAAGTAATAAAATAAATCTTGAGTTCAAATATCGTTTCCACAAGGATTGTACTAGTTCAAATTCGAATTAACTTAATTTTAACAAAAACTATGAAAATGATGACTTTTCTATAACTAAAGTGTAACCGCTTAGATTACGTATGAACGCAAGACTTAAATTAACTTAAATTAATACAAAGTTATAATTAAATGTAAGTTTTATAAAAATATAATGATGAAAAGCGTACTAGGATCCCGAATCCCTTATATCAATCCCCTTTAATCCCAAAATTTATAATTTTGACAATAAGATTCAATTATGAAGATTAATAGTCCTAATTTGTTTAAAAAGTTCTCGAGTAGAATTAAACATATTTTTACATGTGATCCGATTATATTTCTATATCGAATGCGAACGTATAAAAATATATTTATGAATTTATGAATACTTAAAGATTACGTAAAGTATAGTGGTATATTTCTATTATCTATCGAACTCTACGACAATTGACATCATGTCTAACTTATTTTCAATCTTTCGAAAGTAAAATAAGTCACAAAACTCATACAAATATTGCGCATATAATTGTAAAGAGAATCATGCTACATGTATAACATTGGTTGACAACATCTTATTTGGAGTGTGTTTGAGACACATTCTTTTGAAAGAATGTATTATTGAATAGTAGATTGATAGAGAATGTGTGGTTAAAAATGAAAGAACAGTTATTGATGTGATGAAAAATATTATTTTATTGAAGAATGTGTGGTTGAAAATGAGTAGAAGAATGAAAATGAAAAAAAATAAAATAATGTGTACTAAACAGGGCCTTGGTATCATCATATCTATCCATTTTAAAAAACTGTTTTTTACATCACACGCTAGGATTTTGACAACACATGGTTGTTAACCATTGTTGTCAACAAATTAAGAACTTGTCTGGCAAAACTT